TCTGCCTCGCGTGGACCAGCAGGCTTCTACTGCCGCTCGCACTCTGCGCTCGACGGAAACGAGAACAAAGGCACCGGCGCTCGCCAGTGCTGGAGATTCCCCGTTCCTATGACGGGGATTGGAGAGCGGGCGTCTGTCGAAATAGAACGGCGCACGTTTGACACTCCGCGCGCAATTTTTTTTTTAAAGAAATTGGTAGCTTATTTTATCGACCCGAATCAACCTCGCGAAGATGGGTGTCAATTAAGTTGTAGTGATCCCCGGTACAGCCTTTAACGTACTGTTTGGTCAAGCGAGCACCTACGAATGGCGGCACGGCACGCGAGGGGGTGGGTGGCCAGCACCACGCCCGGCCGCCTTTGTCTCCCTGGTGGCGATATTTACACACCTCACCAGGCACTAATTTGAGGCTGAGTCAACCTAAGGGGAGGCCCATTACCGGTTGTTAAGATAATCGCCGTGAGTGGGAATCGAACCCGGGTTGCCGGGTTCGTAGCGCGGCGCGCTAACCGCTGCACCACCCCTCTCCACGGTCACACACAAGATAATGATCCCCCGTATGGCCTTAACAGACTGTTGGGGCAAGTGCCATTAGCGAGTAGCACCTAGGAATCGGTCACAAAGATCCCCAGTATAGCCTTAACAGACTGTAGGGGCAAGTGCTGTTAGCGAGCACCTATGAAGGCCCGAACGGTACACGAGGGGGTGGGATGGTGGCCAGCACCACACCCGACCGCCTTTGTCTCCCTAGCGGCGATGTTTACACACCGCACCGCACGAGGTACTCATTTAAGGCTGAGTCGACCTAGGGGAGGCCCAGGACCGGTTCAGATAATCGTCACTGGTGTTTGCCGTGAGCGGGAATCGAACCTGGGTCGCCAGGTTCGTAATGCAGCGCGCTAACCACTACACTACCGCTCCCCTAGGAATCGGTCACACACACACAGAGACACACACGCACGCACATCCAACACCTGCCGATTCGTAAGCGTTCCAAACTTGCCAATACATTACAGGGAGTTAAATGCGTCTTAGAATCCGCACATTGCGTTCATGATGACAATAACGCGCAGCACTTTTTAAACCACCACTGGGTAAAGTTCTCCCCACGCTGTGTCTATCATGGTGGCTGCTGGACCATACTTCACCACGCTGGTCAATGCGGTTGGGAGCCGTGACCGGGAATTCAACTTCAGTGGCCGGGTTGATAGGGCACTGCGCTAACCAGAGCACCACCGCTCATTCCCTATCCGCACGTAGACAAAAGATAAAGATCCCCCGTATAGCCTTGAACAGACTGTTTAAGCTTTTGTAGACACACTCGCAAAACACACACACACGTATATATATTCATTTACAAGTGCACATTGTAATTGTACACAAAAATACCCCAAGTATTTACATATATACACACGTATGTATATGTGCATATACACATGCATGTATACATGCATACACAGATATACAAAGACCACAATTATTCAAGTGTATGCATCCAAGTGCACACAGAGAAACACGCAACGGTATATAGAGTGTGCCTGTGAACATATAAATACATAAACACAGGCGCACACGCATACACAGATTCGCACGCGTGGCACATGGGTGTAGCGTGGTAGCCGTGTCAATGACACGTGTCATTTAGTGTGGCGTGTACACACGCGAAAATATCGACACACGGACGCAGCGTACAAACACTCGCTCGCACACACACACACACACGCGGGCACGCAATTCACATTGTATATACTCAACATACACTGGGCCACGCGTACACGCGTACACGATACACGCGCGTGTTAAAAACAAAAAGGTAACACACACGTACGACAACAACAACAACAACAAAAAGCACGCGTGGGCACAGACGCGTGGAGATACGCGCAATTACAAAGATCCCCCGTGTAGCCTTAACAGACTATTGGGGCAAGTGCCGTTAGCGAGAGCGTTGAGAAGGCTGGAACGTCCATAAGATAGGTGTTTTGGGTTATATCGCGTTAATTTACGGGAATTTACGCGTAAATTTACGGGGAAAGATCGCGCAAATTTACGGAAATTTACGCGAAATATCCCCGTAAATTTACGCGATCTAACCAAAAAAAACCCCTCTCTCATGGATGATATTGGTCGCGAAAGCCGACTGCGTGTTAAAAAGGCCGGAACGGTCCACGAGGGGGTTTAGATGGCCAGCACCACGCCCGACCGCTTTTGTCTCCCCAGTGGCGATGTCTACCCGCAGCACCAGCTACTCACTTGAGGCTGTCTAAATAAAGTGTGGGGGGTGGGGGGGAGCCCAGGGCGTTGTGCGTGAGCGAGAATCGAACTCAGTTGTCCGGATTCGTAGCCGCGCCACCGCTCCCCACGAACACAGAGAATTAAAAAAATCCCGCGTCCAGCCTCCGACAGACGGTTTTGGACAAGTGCCATTCGCGAGCACCTATGACGGCCGCTAAGGCACACGAGGGGGTGGTGGGTGGCCAACACCACACACACAAAGACAAATATGCATACACCAACACTCAACAACAACAACAATAAAAACATCTGCCACCCGCCAAACAAAGCCACGCAAAGACAAATACACACACACCAACACTCAGACACAAAAGACAAAGATCACCCGTATAGCCTTAACAGACTGTAGGAGCAAGTGCTGTGTGGGTGGACAGCACCAGTGACGATGTTTACGCACAGCACCAGGTACTCATTTGAGGCTGAGTCGACCTAGGAGAGGCTCAGGATCGGCTCAGATGATCGTCACCGATGTTGGCCGTGAGCGGGAATCGAACTTGGGTCGCCGGTTTCACAGCGCAGGGTGCTAACCGCTACACTACCTCTCCCCACACACACACTCTCATACACAAAGATAAAGATCCCCCGTATAGCCTTAACAGACTGTAGGGGCAAGTGCTGTTAGCAGACACCTATGAAGGCCGGAACGGTACACGAGGGGGTGGGTGGCCAGCAACCACGCCCGACCGCCTTTGTCTCCCCAGTGGCGATGTTTACACACTGCACCAGGTACTCATTTCAGGCTGAGTCGACCTAGGGGAGGCCCAGGACCGGTTCAGATAATCGTCACTGGGTCTTGGCCGTGAGCGGGAATCGAACCCGGGTCGCCAGGTTCATAGCGCAGCGCGCTAACCGCTACACTACCGCTCCCCACACTCTCATACACACACACACACTCTCAGACACAAAAACAAAGACACGCACACTCACACACTCTCTCAGACACACACACTCTCATACACACACTCAGACACAAAAAACAAAGACACGCACACTGAGACATACACACACACACTCTCCGACACACACACTCCGACACACACTCTCAGACACACACTCAGACACAAAAAACAAAGATACGCACACTGAGACACACACACACACACACTCCGACACACACACTCTGCGACACACACACACTCTCTCCGACACACACACACACACTGAGACACACACACACACCGACACACACACTCTCCGACACACACACACACACTCTGCGACACACACGCACTCCGACACACACACTCTCCGACACACACACACTCTCTCCGACACACACACACACACTGAGACACACACACACACCGACACACACACTCTCCGACACACACACACACTCTCTCCGACACACACACACACTGAGACACACACACACTCCGACACACACACTCTGCGACACACACACACTCTCTCCGACACACACACACACACTCTGCGACACACACGCACTCCGACACACACACTCTCCGACACACACACACTCTCTCCGACACACACACACACACTCTGCGACACACACGCACTCCGACACACACACTCTCCGACACACACACACTCTCTCCGACACACACACTGAGACACACACACTCAGACACACACGCACGCGCCCACGTGCGCGCCGCTTCGCAAACAGAGCAGCAGGGACTTGTCCCGGAATCGAACCCGGCCGGCAGGAGTTCCGTGTGCTGCGCGCCCGACGTGAGGCCCTTGTCCATCTCGAGAATCATCGCTACTGCTGCTGCTGCTGCTCCTCCTCCTCCGCGTGGCGCTCCGTAGCTCGTTCCCTCGACAGGGATACAATGTAATTGAATTAATTAGAAGCTCTTGTCAAATGGGGCGATGGATTGCCGGAGCGGCCAATGGGTAGCCGCCTTGTGCGAGAGAGTGTGTGTGTGCTGTCCTCCCCCCCCCCATCCTCCTTCCTCCGCTCTCTCTCCCACGACAACGTCCCCCCATCATCACCACCACCATCAACCCACCTCCTCCCACACAAGGCAGCCACTAGCCCATCCCACACACCCCCAGACCCCATCCACAGGCAACCCGGCACCATTCTCACTCTTGCCTCTCCCTCCATCATCATCATCATCATCATATCCCTCCCTCCGTCTCTCCCTCATTCCCTCCCTCCTTCCCTCTCTCCATCTCTCTCTCTCACGCAGCCTCCTCCCCATAACAGCATCAGTCGTCCCTCCCATCTTCACCAACCCACTCCCTTCCCCCCCTCCCCACTAAACTCCTCTCCCATCCCACCCCCTCCGTTCCTCCCTCCTGCCCGTCCCCACCCAACCCACCCACCCACACACACCCCGCCAAGCCACCCCTTCGCGCCGATGACACGGCGATAAGGGTGTAATGCACAACGCGGCCAGCGATTAGCTGCTCGGTAATTGCGGTACGGGCGCGCACGGACAGACACGCGCACGCGCGCGCACGCACGCGGACACGGACACGTAGAGTCGGCAAACCCACACGGGGCGCCGTGAGTCTCTTCGTCTCGGCGCCCTATATAAGCAGCCGCGACTTGCGGGGAACGGGCTCATTTTTTGGAGCAGCATTTTCTGTTGCCGCCGCCGCTGTTGCCGCTGTTGCCGCTGCTGCTCCTCCCCCCCCCACTTAGCACCTCTCCTCCTCCTTCTCCCCCCCCCCCACCTCTTCCCCCACCCCCCCCCCCCCCGCGAAATTTTGTAACAGATTTTCCCTATTGCCTGAAACCACCACCTCCCCCTCCTCCCTTCTGAAAGATCACCGACAAAAAGCCAGACTCTCTCTCTGCCGTCCATCCCTCCCCTGCCGCCGCCGCCGTCGCCGCGTTAATTTCCGGGAGAAGGCTGCGGAGCAAACTCCACGTTGCTGTGCCGAGGGCGCGAAGAAATTTCAACTCGCGCCGCGCGTAGCGCAGTTTTTTGTTTGTTTGTACTTATTAGAAAAAAAAAGAAAGAGCCGCCAAGTTCATTGCGGCTTACTTTTGTAAAATTATTTTACGAGCATTATTTTTATTAAAAAAAAAAAGAAAACATGTCTCACTTTATTTTGTAGTTTTGTAGCAAAAAAAAAAGAAATCTTACGGACAATATTTGCTCTCATCGGTGTGATTCACACAATCATCATCATCAGCAGCAGCAGCAGCTGCATCTTCCTCCGTCATCGCTCTGCCCCGTCCGAGCTCGCCGCTTCCCTGCCGTCGAAATTCCCGAGCATGGAGGAGCTCACCGCCTTCGTCTCAAAGTCATTCGAGGGCAAAGTGAAGGACCGCAAGGACGGAATTACTTACCGCGAAGTCCTCGAGAGCGGCTCGCTTCGCGCTCGGAGCGGCATGGCCACGGACGAAATTGTAGCGACCGCTGCCGCCGCCGCTGCTGCCGCTGCTGCGGCGAGGGAAGATGCGATGGCGGGGTCCCTGTCGGCAGGCTTGGCTCCGCGGCTGCCAATGCTGCCCCGCCCGCCCAGCAGCAAGGAGTTAGGGCTGGACGGAGACAGCGAGAGGGAGGACAGCGACTTCGGTGTCTCCAAGGGCCGAGACGGTAAGAGAGGCGAGTCGGGCGAGGCGTGCGTGGAGTTGAACCCGCGCGCGTTGCGACTCCGAGGCGATGCCGACGGGAATGTCGCTCCACTCGCGAAGTTTCCGTCCGGTTCGAGGGTTTCTGCGTGGTTCCGCGACTTCTCTCGTGGTCCCTGCTTCGCCCGTGCTGTGCACATCGACTCCGCCGTCCGTTGTCTCACTCGTGTCCGTCGCGTGCATCGCACTCGCACGGCGATGTCGAATGAGGATGGGAGAGGGGGGTGGTGGTGGTGGTGAGTGAGTGTATTCGTGGGTGAGTGTGAGCGAGGGGAAATCTAGCGGTGCTCCGGGGTGGTGAGCGAGATACTTTAGTTGTAGTTTCAAGAGAGAGAGTGTGTGTGTGTTTGTGTGTGTGTGTATTTGTGTGTGTGTGTCTTTGTGTGGGAGTGGTGGTGAGGTCGGTGGTGCAGTGGTTAGCGCGCTGCGCTGCGAACCCGGCTAACTAAGTTCGATTCCGTGCCGTAGTTGCAGCATCATCAGTGGCGAACCTATATTGCGCGTCCTGTAGGTTAGCTCAGCCTCAAAACGAGTTACCCGATGCAGTGAGTATAAAGGATCAGTGCTGGAGAGACAAAGGCGGCCGGGAGTAGTAATGCCCACATCACTCCGTTCGTGCCGGTCCTTGACAGCTGTTCTCTGAAACGAATTTCCCCAACAATCCGTACGGTTGAACACGACCTATTTGATTGTGTGTGTACGTGCATGAATACATGCTGCATCTTTAATAGATCAACACAGCGTATACGCCGCGTGTAGATTGATTATTGATAGCATATACTCGGCGCCGTGGTTTAACATCAATATTAACGCATTGGCACATTCACAGACCAACTCGGTACGATTACGCAGAGCAAACACCACATTACCGAGTCTAAACTCAAGCTCGAGACGTCCTCGTCCTCCCCTGCCCCGTGACTGCCGCAAATAAAACATCTCACTCGGCATTCAACATCGTCGTTAATTGTAAGCCGCGGTCCATCCACTGCTGGATGATACGCCTCGCCCAGGCACGGCCCAACACGTGAACACGAGCTGATGTACATCGCTCCGTGCAACCTCCACATCCCCCCCCACCCCCCAATATCTCTCTCGCTCTCTGTGTGACCCCCAAGATGGTCCAGACTCCAACTGAGACTTGCCCTCTGTTTGAACAACAACAACAATAATGATACGAAAACATATTAACACGTGATGTCGATATGTACCCGTACCTCCGATTTGCACGGTTGGCTACGTACGGTGCGAAAGAAGTTCAACACGCGTACATACATACTAGATACACAAGGGACTTGGAACGTGTGCGTCTGTGTCTCCTCGCTCGTATGTCACGATCTGTTGTGCACATAAAGTGAATGTAGCGTCAGTCTGCATGACTGCGTATTTGGCGGTCTGTATATATAAATTAACGTCTATTTCTGTCTGTCTGTACGACTGTCTGTATGACTGTCTGTCTGTCTCTATGGCTGTGTGTTTGTCTGTCTCTACTGCTGTGTGTATGTACGACTGTCTGTACGACTGTCTGTATGACTGTCTGCATGACTGTCTGTATGACTGTCTGTCTGTCTCTATGGCTGTGTGTTTGTCTGTCTCTACTGCTGTGTGTATGTACGACTGTCTGTACGACTGTCTGTATGACTGTCTGCATGACTGTCTGTCTGTCTCTATGGCTGTGTGTCTATCTCTACTGATGTGTGTCTGTGCGACTGTCTGTATGACTGTCTGTATGACTGTCTGTCTGTCTCTATGGCTGTGTGTCTGTCTCTACTGATGTGTGTCTGTGCGACTGTCTGTATGACTGTCTGTATGACTGACCGTCTGTCTCTATTGCTGTCAATATTCCTGCACGTATGCCTTATCTGCCTGCATGGCTGTCAGCCTATATAACCGCCTGACTGTCTGTCTGCTTCTCTGTCACAGACGATGCCGGCTTAACATGCGTCTGGCGATCTTAATATTATAAACACAAGCGCACGCGCGTGTGTGTCTTTGTGCATGTACGTGCCGCTGTGTGTGTGTATCGATTCCCGCTCACGGCCACCAACGACTATCATCTGAAACGTTCCTGAGCTTCCCCTAGATCGACTCAGCCTCAAATGAGTACCTGGTGCGCTGTGTAAGCATCGCCACTGGGGAGACAAAGATGACCGGGCGTGGTGCTGTCCACCGACACAGCAGTTGCTCCTACAGTCTGTTAAGGCTATACGGGTGATCTTTGTCTTTTGTGTCTGAGTGTTGGTGTGTGTGTATTTGTCTTTGCAATGAGTACCTGGTGCGCTGTGTAAACATCGCCACTGGGGAGGCAAAGGCGGTCGGGCGTCGTGTTGGCCACCCCATCCCCTCGTGTGCCATTCGGGCCTTCGTAGGTGCTCGCTAAAAGCACTTGCCCCACCAGCCTGAATAGGCTGTACGGGCGATCTTTGTCTTTGCATGCATGTATGTCTGTAATTGTGTGCATATATAGGCGTGTAAGTGTGTGTATATATATATTTTTGCGCTGTGTTTTTGTGTGTGTGTGTATTTATTTGCGCTACGTGAATATATATGTCTGTGTATCTATATGTATAGAGGTGCGTGTGTGCGTACGTATTATGTACGTGTCTCTAAATATACATGTGTGTATAAGAAAGTATGTGTGTGTATTAGTTGGGGCGGTGGTGTCTTGGTTAGTGCGCTCCACTTCTATTCGGATGGTGACCCAAGTTCGATTCCGCCGCTCACGACCAAACATCAGTGACGAATATCTGAACTGGCCCTGATCTTTCTCAGATGAGCACGCTCGGCTACGTACGGCGCGAAAGAAGTTCAAGATGCATGAAAAAAAATGAGCACCCGATGCGGTGTGTAAACATCAGCACTGGTGAGACAAAGGCGGCCGGGAGCGTGGTGTTGGCCACCCACCACCTCGTGTGCCGTGCCGGTCTTCATAGGTGCTCGCTAACAGCACTTGCCCCAACAGTCTGCTCTTTGAATTTGTTTGGTAATGCACCGATAATTATCTGCGTATTCACGTGTGTGCATATGTGATATATGTACATACGGATATGATCGCATTATGTGTGCATAGACTGGTGGGAGTGGTGGCGCAATGGTTAGCACACTGCGCTACGAACACGACCCTCAAAGTTCGATTCCTGGCTCCCGTTAATATCATCGGCAATCAATATCTTAACCAGTCGTTAGCCTCACCTAGGTAGACTCAGCCTTTAAAACAATGTGTGCCTCGTGCGGTATGTAAACCGAGCACAGGAGAGACAAAGGCGGCCGGGTGTGGTTCTGGCTACACCACTACCACCACCTCGCGCGGGATTTAAACCAAAACAGGTGTTAGCTAACAGCACTTGTCCCCGCGGTTCATATGCCTATACGGGGCACCTTTGTCTGTGTGTGTGTGTGTACGTAGTGGGGAACGGTAGCGTAGCGGTGAGCGCACTGCGCTACGAACCTGCCGACACGAGTTCGATTCCCGCTCACGGCCTGAACCGTTCCTGGGGTCTTCCCTATGTGGACTGGTGCGGTGTGCAAATACCAGCATTGGGGAGACAAAGGCGGCCTGGGCGTTGTGCTGCTACTCGATCACAACACCTTGCCCCAACATTCGGTGTAAGGCTACGCGGGTGATCTTTGTCTTTGTATCGACTGCGGTGGCCTGTGACGGGCATCTTTGAAGGCTCTGTAAGTGCCCGGGTCGAAGGGAAACAGAATATCGGCCGATCTTATCGTGACGAACACCGAGGTCGTCCTGTACGTACAAAGATCCCCCGTGTAGCCTTAACTGACCGTTGGGGCAAGGTGCTATTATCAAAGATGGTGTGGTTATCACCACGCCTGGCCGCCTTTGTCTCCCCACCCCCCCCCCTCTCCAAAGTGTTGATGTTTTACGCACGACATGAGGTACTCGTTTCAGGCTGAGTCGACCTAGGGAAGGCCCAGGACCGGTTCAGATATCCGTGAGCGGGAATGGTACTCGGATCGTCGGGTTCTTAGCGTAGTGCGCTAACCACTACACTACCGCTCCCCGCGCGCATGCACAGAACACCTTAAACTCAACCACCGACTCTCAACATTGCAATGATTTTATTAGAATCGTTATAGCATTTGAGATGTAGGGACCTGGGCGTCTGTACACACGCGCACACACAATACACACACCACGCACACACGCACACACACACACAATACACACAATACACACACCACGCACACACACACAATACACACACCACGCACACACGCACACACCCACACAATACACACAATACACACACCACGCACACACACACAATACACACACCACGCACACACACACACAATACACACAATACACACACCACGCACACACACACAATACACACACCACGCACACACGCACACACACACACAATACACACAATACACACACCACGCACACACACACAATACACACACACAATACACACACAATACACACAACACACACCACACACACACAACACACAGCGGTGTTGCCTGGAGCGCTAAGCAAAGGAATAGAGACATTTGATTACACGGCCACAATGCTGATGATTGGCAACAAAAGGCAAACCCGACTGGAGATGTTCTGCTTATGAACAAATGTTCCTAGCGAACGTCATTGGAACTTTTTTTTAGGGGGGGGTGGGCTAACGATCGTAAACACATTTAAATGTTACGCTATATTACAGTATGTGTGCACTCTATATATGTTTACTTTTGCTGATTAAATATATATACACGTCCAGAGGTCAGTCTGTGTGTGCGTGTGTATATGCGTGTGTGTGTGCGTATGTGTGTGTGTGCGTGTGTGCGCGGAGTGGTGGCGCAGTGGTTAGCGCGCTGCGCTAACGATCCCGGCTACCCGAGTTAGATTCCCGGCCACGGCTAAAATCAGTGGCGAGCGAAATCACGAACCTGGAAAAATCCCTGCTCGCCTTCGAGACGGCGTGGAGAAGCCAGCAGTGGATTTCC